GGAATTGGAACTAAACACGACAGAAGAAATTTGTGGATGCCTTTTTATACAGGTCGTCCGGGAGAAACACAATTCGTTATCTGGCCATGATAGATTCTTTTCTTTTCACCCAGGCTTGCTACATCCAAGAGACACGTGACTCGTACCATGACCGTTCGTATAACGGTTATCATGGCGGCTGCACCGACAGGAAGGTAGGACACCGATCCGTCACTTGCATACAGTCAGGAAGGTAGGACACTGATCCGTCACTTGCATAATGACAGGAAGATAGGACACTGGTCCGTCACTTGTATACTGACAGGAAGGTAGGACACTGATCCGTCACTTGTATACTGACAGGAAGGTAGGACACTGATCCGTCACTTGTATACCGACAGGAAGGTAGGACACTGGTCCGTCACTTGCATACCGACAGGAAGGTAGGACACTGATCCGTCACTTGTATACTGACAGGAAGGTAGGACACGGATCCGTCACTTGCATACTGACAGGAAGGTAGGACACTTATCCGTCACTTGTATACTGACAGGAAGGTAGGACACTGGTCCGTCACTTGCATACTGACAGGAAGGTAGGACACTGGTCCGTCACTTGTATACTGACAGGAAGGTAGGACACTGATCCGTCACTTGTATACCGACAGGAAGGTAGGACACTGATCCGTCACTTGTATACCGACAGGAAGGTAGGACACTGATCCGTCACTTGTATATACAGACAGGAAGGTAGAACACTGATCCGTCACTTGTATACCGACAGGAAGGTAGAACACTGATCCGTCACTTGTATACCGACAGGAAGGTAGAACACTGATCCGTCACTTGTATACCGACAGGAAGGTAGAACACTGGTCCGTCACTTGTATATCGACAGGAAGGTAGGACACTGGTCCGTCACTTGTATACCGACAGGAAGGTAGGACACTGATCCGTCACTTGTATATCGACAGGAAGGTAGAACACCGATCCGTCACTTGTATACAGACAGGAAGGTAGTAGACACTGGTCCGTCAGGAAGGTGTATACCGACAGGAAGGTAGGAACACTGATCCGTCACTTGTATACCGACAGGAAGGTAGGACACTGATCCGTCACTTGTATACTGACAGGAAGGTAGAACACCGACCCGTCACTTGTATACTGACAGGAAGGTAGAACACCTATCCGTCACTTGTATACCGACAGGAAGGTAGAACACCTATCCGTCACTTGTATATCGACAGGAAGGTAGAACACTGATCCGTCACTTGTATATCGACAGGAAGGTAGGACACCGATCCGTCACTTGTATATCGACAGGAAGGTAGAACACCGATCCGTCACTTGTATACCGACAGGAAGGTAGAACACCGATCCGTCACTTGTATACCGACAGGAAGGTAGAACACCGATCCGTCACTTGTATACCGACAGGAAGGTAGGACACTGATCCGTCACTTGTATACCGACAGGAAGGTAGAACACCTATCCGTCACTTGTATATCGACAGGAAGGTAGAACACTGGTCCGTCACTTGTATACCGACAGGAAGGTAGGACACTGATCCGTCACTTGTATACTGACAGGAAGGTAGGACACTGATCCGTCACTTGTATATCGACAGGAAGGTAGGACACCGATCCGTCACTTGTATATCGACAGGAAGGTAGAACACCGATCCGTCACTTGTATACCGACAGGAAGGTAGAACACCTATCCGTCACTTGTATATCGACAGGAAGGTAGAACACCGATCCGTCACTTGTATATAACCAGGCCTTGCTGGTGTATTCATGTCTCTACACGAGGGGCAATACCCCTAGGCACCTGGGCCCTAACATCCTCCTGCACTGCTGTTTAAGAACGTTTAACGAATTTGCAAGCTTTAAATAATTCATGTGTTCACCGGATAAAGGGTTTAAATGTTCCATATTCAAGGTACAATATATACTCTTTTGTAAGATGCGCAAATTGCTTGATCCTGAACTGACCAAAACTTTCGAAACCCATATCGATTAGATATCTCAAAAGACGTGATCAGTACAAACTGTATTTTTTTTATATATACGTCGATTTATACTGTAGGTTTGATTCCTATTGCAACACAGCTTATGCTAGCGATGTTACACCCAGAAAGGATCTTTAATAGATTAACCGTTGTACTATATCCCTCATTGAACAGAGAATATTCAGTCTCGATTATCTGACGAAATAAATTCTATTCGGCGTTAAAGGAAACATAGTGTTGAAAATCATATGAACTGATCAATGACGATTGATTGTGTCACGAGGTAGTGAGTAAGTGGGAGTATGTCAGGCTACGGAAAACACGACATGACTTCCATAACACGTACCCAAATCATTCATGCCTATTCAATAGTTATATATATATATATATACCATTATTGTTCGCCGGCAAGAATGAAATTATCAAAAGGATGATATAAATTCCCTGTCTACACGATGTGTGTTAAAACACTGCCTTTCTTCTAGAAACAGGATACGAGGCCTTGTTTTCAGCGTTCTAGCCTTAAAAAGGTGAACGTAAGAATGGTTGGCGGTACAGTGTATTGGATGGGTGGACATGTCCGGCAGCTCGACTCCTGAGTCTGTCTAAGCCTTCAATATTCGGGGCCCCCTGAGGCCAGAGACACTGTTCGAAGACCCGTGAAGTTCCGGGTTACAACTGGTCTTCAGAAGCCTCTGCTTGTCGGAAGAGGCAACTAACGGAATCGGGTGGTCGCTGACTTGAGTGGTACATATTGATCACTGGATTGTCTGGTAAAGACTCGAGTATTTACAGACCGCCGCCATATAGCTGGAATATTGTTGAGAGGGGCTTAAACAACCAACAAACCAAACCGCTGTTCTAAAGTATGACTCTATTCACTCTGAAGGGTGAGAAGGTAGTGTGCCTGTCCACTTTCTCGCGCCTCACGAGGTGTTTAGACTGTATTTGCACAGGCTATTAAAGCATGTTTTCCTCTGTTCCAGGATTGTGATACAATCGCCAGTGTGGGCATTTACCACAATCACAGAGTGGTGAAGGGAAAATGTTGCTACACTGACTCCTGCAACACTATGGATTTCCTGAGTGAAGGCGGAAGTAATACTTACTTACTCCTTACTAGTACTGAAGGGTGGTGGGTGTGCTGTCTATAGCATTGTGTTTTCTACTGTCGCTATCTTCATATGTATATTGCCTCTGTCATTGTCCTGGCTATTGTCTGTAGTATTGTCTTTTCTACTGTCTCTATCTTCATATGTATATAGCCTTTGTCATTGTCCTGGCTATTGCTAATTAATAGCATGGTCTTTTCCACTGTCTCTGTCTTCAAATGTATATTGCCTCTGTCATTGTCCTGGCTATTGCTAATTAATGGCATTGTCTTTTCTGCTGTCTCTATCTTCATATGTATATTGCCTCTGTCATTGTCCTGGCTATTGCTAATTAATGGCATTGTCTTTCTGCTGGTCCAATCTTATGTATATTGCCTTTGTCATTGTCCTGGCTATTGCTAATTAATGGCATTGTCTTTTCTGCTGGTTATATCTTCATATGTATATTGCCTTTGTCATTGTCCTGGCTATTGCTAATTAATGGCATTGCCTTTTCTGCTGTCTCTATCTTCATATGTATATTGCCTCTGTCATTGTCCTGGCTATTGCTAATTAATAGCATTGTCTTTCTACTGTCTCTATCTTCATATGTATATTGCCTCTGTCATTGTCCTGGCTATTGTCTGTAGTATTGTCTTTCTACTGTCTCTATCTTCATATGTATATTGCCTCTATCATTGTCCTGGCTATTGTCTGTAGTATTTTCTTTCTACTGTCTCTATCTTCATATGTATATTGCCTTTGTCATTGCCCTGGCTATTGCTAATTAATAGCATTGTCTTTTCTACTGTCTCTGTCTTCAAATGTCTATTGCCTCTATCATTGTCCTGGCTATTGCTAATAGCATTGTCTGTTCTACTGTCTCTATCTTCATATGTCTATTGCCTTTGTCATTGTCCTGGCTATTGTCTATAGCACTGTCCCTTCTATTGTCTGTATCTTTTACTTTCTATCGCTTGTTTCATTGTCCTGGCTATTGTCTATAGCGTTGTCTTTTCTTCTGTTTCTATCTTCATATGTCTATGGCCTGTGTCATTGTTCTGGCTATGGTCTATAGCATTGTCCCTTCTATTGTCTGTATCTTTTACTTTCTATCGCCTGTGTCATTGTCCTGGCTATTGTCTATAGCATTGTCCCTTCTATTGTCTGTATCTTTTACTTTCTATGGCCTTTGTCATTGTCCTGGCTATTGTCTATAGCATTGTCCCTTCTATTGTCTGTATCTTTTACTTTCTATGGCCTTTGTCATTGGCCTGGCTTTTGTCTATAGCATTGTCCCTTCTATTGTCTGTATCTTTTACTTTCTATGGCCTTTGTCATTGTCCTGGCTATTGTCTATAGCATTGTCCCTTCTATTGTCTGAATCTTTTACTTTCTATGGCCTTTGTCATTGTCCTGGCTATTGTCTATAGCATTGTCCCTTCTATTGTCTGAATCTTTTACTTTCTATCGCCTGTTTCATTGTCCTGGCTATTGTCTATAGCATTGTCCCTTCTATTGTCTGAATCTTTTACTTTCTATGGCCTTTGTCATTGTCCTGGCTATTGTCTATAGCATTGTCCCTTCTATTGTCTGTATCTTTTACTTTCTATGGCATTTGTCATTGTCCTGGCTTTTGTCTATAGCATTGTCCCTTCTATTGTCTGTATCTTTTACTTTCTATGGCATTTGTCATTGTCCTGGCTTTTGTCTATAGCATTGTCCCTTCTATTGTCTGTATCTTTTACTTTCTATGGCCTGTGTCATTGTCTAGGTTATTGTGTCTGGCACTGTCAGGAACATGATATCTTGTATTGTCGTGGACAGTATCTATCGTCACTGACATTTCCCATGTGACATTCATGCTTGAAGATATAGGTAATTTAAATTATGTGTTACTTCCTCTTGGAAGTGCTATCAATGTCGTTCTGTGACTTGACTACTGACCTGGGACACTTACATTACAAGATCAGGTCAAGGTTGACAACACAACCTACTACAACATCAACACAACAAACAACGACGAAGCAAACAACCACAGCAACAACGGAGACAACAACTGTTATCAAAACAACTGAGAAACCTACACAGCCACCATCAACGTCCGTCCCGTCTACATCAACCACTTTACCATCAACCACAGAAGGTACGTTGAACGTTGATGAAAATAACGCCATCGAGTTTGACTAGGAAACGATTCACACTGGAATACTTAGAGAAGCTAAGTTATTTCTCAGAAATATATACACAAACGACACATGAATTACGATTGACACTGAATGTTACCTGCAAGCTTTTTGTACATAATGTATGACATTGTCTCTCCGAAGGATACCGTCTCTGTGCAACCTACACCGACCAAACGTCACCAAACCCCAGAAACAAGCAGAGATGTGCGACAGCAGAGGTAGGAGAGTATTATAAGTACTCTATAATTAATTAATTAATTATAAGTATTATATATAAGTATTCCTCAACCGATTGTCATAAACTGTAACAGCCATCGACGAACATGTTTCCTGACCCAGGATATGAGTGTCTCTAGTGGGATTCTGGGAGAGAGTGTAACCCCGTTCCCACTGTTGTTAACCCTTTGGTGTTTCAAGGACAACATAAGTCTGTGATTCTCTTCCTATGGTGCTCCCAGAACACATTAGAATGGTGCCTGTAGCTTTCGGTATGGTTTCTCGCTTTTAATCCCATCCTGCCATGGGGTTTCTGGGATACGGCGAAATACCCCAAGGGAGTTCCCAATAATATATCTAGATCACATAACCCTTGCGTTCATCTCCCCCATGGGACTACAGGGTCAGAGAAGGGCGTCTTCATTTGACAGTCGAAGCACGGTCTTGTGGTTTGTATAGGCGATGACTTAAATTGGAATCGAGTGGACACAATGACTGCTGACTATGTATAGTATAGAGTATAGAGTATAGAGTAGTGTATAGTATATAGTGTTATAGAAGCTGGCAGATCACCCTGGACAAGGTCGAGGTGGTTCACATGCTCCAAATGTAACCAAAACGCATGATCACTATCATCAGTCTCCCACTGTTGACAAATGTCTCCACGTACACTCATGTTAATGATTGTCTGTACGCTTCACTGACTTAAGGACCCACTATATCTGTATCAGGAGCTGTGCTTCCTGCAACAGTACACAGCCCCCGACAACTACAAGCTCTACCGGAGTGGATGCTCCACCAAGCAGGTAGGCATGCAAGTCGGATGTACTACATGCGTTAGAGGTCAGGTAGTATTAGGGGTGACTTTTGAGGGGACACAACTGTTGCGACAGCGACAGTATATTGGAATAGTTTTTTCTCCTTGGAATGTCTTATTTGAAATCATGAATGTATAGTTTATATGAAATAAAAACAAGTTGAAGTAGTTTCAGTCTCTTATAATAAATGACAAGAAACTTGAAACCCAGATCAAGTAAACAGTTAAAACATAAACTCAATGAAGCTGCAAGTCTGCGCCCAACAATACAAAGATACAAAACAAAATAGTTAATTAGAATAAAACAACCATCAATTACTAAACTGTTGAAAGTCACACATTCTATCGATGCATCGACAGTTTTTCGTTTCCACCATCGATTAAGTCCTATCGGAGACTCAACAATTGCAATCATTACAGCCGTTACAGCCGTTACAGGTAGTGTGTAGTCACAATGTTTGGAGGTCTCAGTAGAATCAGACCCGTGAAGATCCGGGGTAGAATAGGTCTTCACAACCCATTCTTGTCATAAAAGGCGACTATGCTTGTCCTAAAGGGCAACTAACGGGATCGGGTGGTCAGGCTCGCTGACTTGGTTGACACATGTCATCGGTTATGTCCTGGCGTTCAGAAACGGCATATATATAGTAGTCCTGACATTTCAACAGTTTGGCGTATGTTTTGGATACGGAATTGTCAGTTTATGTTCGTTTTTTTCACGATACAGAAGTCAGATACGTGTGTGCTCACCCGTAGCGACAAGCTTGAAACGCTGACACTGTGTGACTGATTAGAAAGTTACTGTGATATTCAGGAGGGGAGGTGTGAATATTTCTGATTTTGAGAGGGATGTACAGTTTCGCAGGCATTTTGCAGAATGCAGTATCATGTGAAATATATTCAGGCCTACCAAAGAAAACGTTAAACATACCATTGCTCCTACATATTGTCACCCTTATACCATGAATATATTGAAGGCATAGGTTAATTATGGTATAGGGGTGACAATATGTCGGAGCAATGGTATGTTTAACGTTTCATATCATCTCACCTGTATTCACAGTGGTAAACGTTTGAGGCCTTATTTATTTACTACATCCTCTCTACGTAATTGAGAAATTGACCTGATTCTGCAATATGCTGAGATGTTCTTTGGGCACAATGGCCGTAATTGTTCCTCGAAGTCAAAGATGCCGACTGGATGTGCGGGACATTACTGTATGACATTTATACTTCGGTTCTGTATGTTATATGTGCATATATATTTTATGTCTTACCTAACGTACCTGTCATTTTTAACAACTCTTTACTTTTCAGAACTGTAATGTCATTAGTGACACATCACGTGACCCGACCGTGCTGTACGGAAAATGTGGCAACTCCAACGAAGAAAACTTGAATGAATTCCTCCGCTACCAACATGAACATGAAATGGGTTAGTGAAGAGAGTTTGGGGTTGGTTTGAGTGAGTGAGTCGCAAGGCGGGTTTGTGTGGTGGTTGAACGAGTGTGTGAGTGACATGAAGGAAATGGTATGAATGAATCTGCCTCCCAATGACAGACAGACAGACAGACAGACAGACAGACAGACAGGCAGGACAGACAGACACAGACAGACAGGCAGACGGACGGACGGACGGACGGACGACGGACAGACAGACAGGTTTGTTTCAGTAAGAAGCCTCCTGCCCAGAATACAATACATGATTTTTTGTTTCCTTCGACAAGATTATTTACTTAATTCAACGAAGACCCGATCCCGATACTCGGCTCTTACGACAAGCATGGGGTGGTGAAGTCCAATTATAACCCGGATCATCACTGGCCGAGTGGATATTATCTAAATTATTTGTACTACTTGATGATATGTGGTGGGAACGGAACTTTAATGTCATAAATCTTATTGAAATCAAACCACGGAAAACATGTCCACCATATTAGGTTCATCCCCTGCATGCATTACCCCGACTTGTAATAGATACATCCCCTTGTGTCAACCCGTCCGACAGTTGCGCCATAACCACTCGTTGCGTACCCTGTGGGTTAACTGACAACTGACGCAAATAGTCATTACTTGTACCTTTGGTTAACTGACAACTGACGCAAATAGTCATTATTTGTACCTCTGGTTAACTGACAACTGACAACGCAAATAGTCATTACTTGTACCTTTGGTTAACTGACAACTGACGCAAATAGTCATTACTTATACCTCTGGTTAACTGACAACTGACAACGCAAATAGTTATTACTTGTACCTCTGGTTAACTGACAACGCAAATAGTCATTACTTGTACCTCTGGTTAACTGACAACGCAAATAGTTATTACTTGTACCTCTGGTTAACTGACAACTGACAACGCAAATAGTTATTACTTGTACCTCTGGTTAACTGACAACTGACAACGCAAATAGTCATTACTTGTACCTCTGGTTAACTGACAACTGACAACGCAAATTATCATTACTTGTACCTTTGGTTAACTGACAACTGACGCAAATAGTCATTACTTATACCTCTGGTTAACTGACAACTGACAACGCAAATAGTTATTACTTATACCTCTGGTTAACTGACAACGCAAATAGTCATTACTTGTACCTCTGGTTAACTGACAACTGACAACGCAAATAGTCATTACTTGTACCTCTGGTTAACTGACAACTGACAACGCAAATAGTCATTACTTGTACCTCTGGTTAACTGACAACTGACAACGCAAATAGTCATTACTTGTACCTCTGGTTAACTGACAACTGACCCAAATAATCATTACTTGTACCTCTGACAATTAACACAACTACATCCATCGCATTTGGTACATTACATTTAACACTCGATTTCATATTAGCGTTGGGAGGGTTAAGGTTAACAGTGTTACATTATCAGCAGGTGAGTCTATCATCTGATAGATGTCATATTTGTCTCGCTCCAGATAATCTGCGTCACGACGCCAACTGTAGGAAGTGCACAGCAGCCTCACTTCAGACGTCACACGACTGTGGTCTCTACCAGACGTGTCTCCCAGAGCAGGTATAGCAATGTGGTCACTACCAGACGTGTCTCCCAGAGCAGGTATAGCAATGTGGTCACTACCAGACGTGTCTCCCAGAGCAGGTATAGCAATGTCGTCATTACCAGAAATGTCTCCCAGAGCAGGCATAGCAATGTGGTCATTACCAGACATGTCTCCCAGAGCAGGCATAGCAATGTGGTCTCTACCAGACGTGTCTCCCAGAGCAGGTATAGCAATGTGGTCACTACCAGACATGTCTCCCAGGGCAGGTATAGCAATGTGGTCACTACCAGACTTGTCTCCCAGGGCAGGTATAGCAATGTGGTCACTACCAGACGTGTCTCCCAGAGCAGGTATAGCAATGTGGTCACTACCAGACGTGTCTCCCAGGGCAGGTATAGCAATGTGGTCACTACCAGACGTGTCTCCCAGAACAGGTATAGCAATGTGGTCACTACCGGACGTGTCTCCCAGAGCAGGTATTGCAATGTGGTCACTACCAGACGTGTCTCCCAGAACAGGTATAGCAATGTGGTCATCTTTAGACGTGTCTCCCAGAGCAGGTATAGCAATGTGGTCACTACCGGACGTGTCTCCCAGAACAGGTATAGCAATGTGGTCACTACCGGACGTGTCTCCCAGAGCAGGTATAGCAATGTGGTCACTACCGGACGTGTCTCCCAGAGCAGGTATAGCAATGTGGTCACTACCAGACGTGTCTCCCAGAACAGGTATAGCAATGTGGTCACTACCAGACGTGTCTCCCAGAGCAGGTATAGCAATGTGGTCACTACCGGACGTGTCTCCCAGAGCAGGTATAGCAATGTGGTCACTACCGGACGTGTCTCCCAGGGCAGGTATAGCAATGTGGTCACTACCAGACGTGTCTCCCAGAGCAGGTATAGCAATGTGGTCACTACCAGACGTGTCTCCCAGAGTAGGTATAGCAATGTGGTCACTACCAGACGTGTCTCCCAGAGCAGGTATAGCAATGTGGTCACTACCAGACGTGTCTCCCAGGGCAGGTATAGCAATGTGGTCACTACCAGACGAGTCTCCCAGAGCAGGTATAGCAATGTGGTCACTACCAGACGAGTCTCCCAGGGCAGGTATAGCAATGTGGTCACTACCAGACGTGTCTCCCAGAGCAGGTATAGCAATGTGGTCACTACCAGACGTGTCTCCCAGAGCAGGTATTGCAATGTGGTCACTACCAGACGTGTCTCCCAGGGCAGGTATTGCAATGTGGTCACTACCGGACGTGTCTCCCAGAGTAGGTATAGGAATGTGGCCCCCACTAGACGTGTCTCCCAGAGCTGGTATAGCAATGTGGTCACCTCTGGACGTGTAGTAATCTGATATTTTAAAATATTGCATATCGTTTGTTTGTCGCATAGACACAGGATTGCTAGACTGATTCTCGCTTAACATATGTTGACCGGTGGCTGCGCTCTTTTTCTTTCAGGCATGCGCAGTGCAGGTGACTAATGATGGCGACACAATGAACCTGTACAGCGAGTGCGTGCAACAAACGGTATGTCTGCATGCCCAGCTTGAAAGGACATTGAAAACATGGCAGCATGTGCGGGCGGGGTGCAAGGGCTTTTGGTGGGTGTTTGAGAGTACGGGAGATCTGATGCCACGGATGTCAAAGATTCAGCACATGCATATTAGAGACCTATGATTGCTGGTTTGATTCCCAGTTCCAACAGGATTATGTTACCGAGCCTTAAAGTGAAGGAGGTAGTGCTGACCGGATGAGTAAGCGAGAGCATTTGAAATCCAAACCATTCTTTTCATACATTTTCAATGTATTATTGCTGTAGCTAGATATGTATGATACTTATGTGTAGTTACATTATTGCTATAGGTATTATTTGTATTCATAGTTGTAGTAGTAACAGCAGTACCAATGGTTGTTGTAGTAGTAGTCGAAGTAGTAACAGCAGAACCAATGGTTGTTGTAGTAGTAGTCGTAGTAGTAACAGCAGAACCAATGGTTGTTGTAGTAGTAGTCTTAGTAGTAACAGCACCTTCAGCAACAGAAGCAGTCGTAGTAGTAGTAGTAGTAGTCGTTACGGAGTATTGTCCGTCAGGAACCCTAGATCATGTGGTGTTTTTCTCATGTTTCAGGAATGCAACTTCTTGCAGACCAACTACATGCACCTATCCAGCTCCCATCTTTCCATCCTCTGTGGTGGTTGCTGTGGCAACATGACATGCGCTGTAGACGTGTGTAAAGGTCAACGTAAGTATGCGCCACCTACAGATGTGGCAGGCGTATTTACATTTATGAATGTTGGTCTTTTGTAATAAACATGTCCCACTGGAAATAAGAAAGGAGTAATGTGAGGTCGCTAGATCAGTGTAATGTCTAAAGCTAGCTATTAAATATTCATTGGATTGACGTGAATCACATTTCTCTAAATGTTCTCTATGAATAACAACACAGCGATAAAGCAGCTGGACGTCAAGCCGAAGATTATTTCATACGCGTTCCTTTAAAACTCCAGTTTAGCCCGGATGAATCTAGAAGTAACCTAGTTTTCCCTGGAAGGAAGGGTGGTGAAGCGTATGTGCATTCCTCTTGCATTCCTCTGAGTAACCTATGTGCATTCCTCAGTAACCTATGTGTAACCTGAGGTGTGCATTCCTCTGAGTAACCTATGTGCATTCCTCTGAGTAACCTATGTGCATTCCTCTGAGTAACCTATGTGCATTCCTCTGAGTAACCTATGTGTATTCCTCTGAGTAACCTATGTGCATTCCCTGAGATGTGCATTCCTCTCCTCTGAGTAACTCTATATGTGCATTCCTCTGAGTAACCTATGTGCATTCCTCTGAGTAACCTATGTGCATTCCTCTGAGTAAACCGATGTGTATTCCTCTTGGGAAGCCTAAGTGCATTCCTCTATTTCTATGGCTTTTCTTCCTGAAATTGATTCTCAGGCACTGTGTTTGATCACACTTCAGTCATTGAATGTGTGTACTACTTAAAGTGGGCATCCAAGAAAACGTTCAGCAAGCATCCACAGGTTTAGTTCCACCACCTCGCTCATTGCGACGCACACAACAGGACGTCACATTCGGCTTCATGTGATGTTTTTGTGTTGTGCTATCTGCCAAGGTTGTATTCCTACATATTTTCTGAATATTGCAGTAACCGCAAATCTACATTTATGTCCTGGAAAAGTAAGTGTAGTTATTTATATATACCTACCGACAATGACGGAGAAGGACAACTTTCATGATCTATTACTATATTTACTTCCGCGGCTAGATGGCAGACAAATCGGATGTTTTAATCAAATGTTGTTATTGCGATTTGATACCTCTAACTGACCAATAGGAATAAAGCAACTTCAATATAATATATAGGATATCTGTAGGTTAAAATGGGCTAAACTGAATTTGACACCGAAAGCACCTCTTGGGAAGGTGAGTAGTGTAGAGACCTTGTACGCCACGACGAAGCAGGCAATCCTCCCAAAATCATACATGCCTTTGCAAGATTTAGCTTCACACGACAATTCACTATTATGAACTCGCGTCGCTCTTTCGTGAGATATGAAGAGATATAGTATATATGAAGTCTTCATCATCATTTCAAAATCTCTGTCAAACGTTTGAACTGCGCGTTTCACGAAATGCCACATACTTTAAATATTTTAGAAACCGTAATTCCGCATATTCGAACCAAATTATTGTGAATGTTAAAGTTTCAATATATTTGATTGATCGATGCGGGTATCAAATCAGAGGTGAATTGTTATTTGACACCTCTGATTGACCTGTACAAACTGAGTAATTCACAATTAGGTAGAATATTTATTCAGTAACAGTACGGATGTTTGCCATCGTGTCTGTACGGGTTTTGTTTGTTACAGTGCTGTCCGGAAGACGATAGGTTGACCAGCACTCCCCGCCACAGGTATGCCGAGGCTGGACAGCGATACAAGTGGATATATAAACTTGATGTTTTAAACCAATAAACAACCATTTGTCTCATGACAAGAAGCTGATTTAATCAATCTGTGATGTTATTACTACTCCATGACTGCCAGGAATGGGTGAATGTTGTTACATGCCGCAGTAATCGAGGGTCCAGATGTATTTTCAGTTATTATTTTATATGGATTATGAGGAAGTGCAATCAGCCAGTACACACGACCTGGAGAGCACCGCACAACTGTAGTCTGTCTCACAGTCCCTGAACCATATTCTTTTCCCTGCAGCCTAGCCCTTCCTGCTGATGCTAAAGCCCTAAATGAAGCAAGTCTAGATTTCTCCAGGTTCAGGTTCTGAATCTCCTGGGGCTCCTTTACAATTTAAATGGGTTTATTTGTTACAATCCTTTTGGCGTGCGTGCGTGCGTGCGTGCGTGTGTGTGTCATGGTTTAATTAATGGATGGGACGGCTCTTCGTGGCATAATGTCATTAGACACGGCTATTTGTCTTTTAATAACGTCTTCGCAATATTTGGGGTCTTAACTTCAAACTCCATTCATGGTTCGATCAAATATGAAGAATGGTACAACATTTGTGTCCTTAGAGAGATATCTCTGTCTCAAAGATTAACCATAAATTTCTATACTGCTAAAGAAGGACTTTTCTATATTCACAAAAGTATTTGAGACAAGTGGAATCAATAACTTATGGATAATAAAACGTTTTTAAAATACTTGAATTTTACAAATTCAGAAACGGAACGAGTTCACTGTGTTACAACATTTGTTTTTTTCAACGTTGTACACCACTGTCCCACATAACAAAACCCTAGGGAAAACTTTTTCATTCCTATATCCATTAGTCATTTCTTAATAGACAAAATATACCTCCATATCTATTTCAGAGGTTTAGGACAATTTCTTAGAAATGAAAGTAAATACCCTTCATCCCCATAGGCACCAATGATGCTCCTTTCCTTGTGGGTATCTTTGTCGAGCAATATTCCAACAGCTCCAGCTACTTTGGTTTTGGTGTTTACATGACACAATGTTTTAGTTACAATCGAGCATGCTCTTATAAACAAACTTTCAAAGAGCGTCCTACGACTCCTGCGCAACTGTTTGACATTCAATGAATTCAAGAGGACATTCAGGACTTCAGTAAGGTTTTCAAGATGTTTTCCCGCACACTCGTGGAGGACATTTCAAACTTCGACGCATCAGCACTATTTAGTAGTGACTCACAAACACGTGCAGTGTGTTTACATGATGCACAGTGTTTACTGTTTACATGATCATATCTCATACATGATGCCAGTCATCACTGTCATCATATCTCATGATGCCAGTCATCACTGTCATCATGACATCTCATGATGCCAGTCACCATGTCATCGTATCTCACAGGTGATGCCAGTCAGTTGTTTACTGTCACAGATGTTTATCTCATGATGCCAGTGTTTACTGTCATTATATCTCATGATGCCAGTCACAGGTGTTTACATGACACACTGTCATCACACAGTATCTCATGATGCCAGTTTACATGACACTGTCATCATATCTCATGATGCCAGTCACCACTGTCATCGTATCTCATGATGCCAGTCACTACTGTCATCGTATCTCATGATGCCAGTGTTTACATGACACAGTCATCATTATCTCATGATGCCAGTCACCACTGTCATCGTATCTCATGATGCCAGTCACCACTGTCATCGTATCTCATGATGCCAGTCACCACTGTCATCAGTCTCCATCCCTTCAAGTGTTCAAGCGTAACCTCAAAACATGATGCAGTCGATATAAACACCACTGTCATCATATCTCATGATGCCAGTCACCACTGTCATGTTTGTTTTTATCTCATGATGCCAGTCACCACTGTCATCGTATCTCATGATGCCATTCACCATTGTCATGATCAATGCGATTCAAGTCACCAGTCACCATGATGCCAGTCACCACTGTCATCGTATCTCATGATGCCAGTCACCACTGTCATCGTATCTCATGATGCCAGTCACCACTGTCATCGTATCTCATGATGCCAGTCACCACTGTCATCATATCTCATGATGCCATGCCAGTCACCACTGTCATCATATCTCATGATGCCAGTCACCACTGTCATCGTATCTCATGATGCCAGTCACCACTGTCATCATATCTCATGATGCCAGTCACCACTGTCATCGTATCTCATGATGCCAGTCACCACTGTCATCGTATCTCATGATGCCAGTCACCACTGTCATCGTATCTCATGATGCCAGTCACCACTGTCATCGTATCTCATGATGCCAGTCACCACTGTCATCGTATCTCATGATGCCAGTCACCACTGTCATCGTATCTCATGATGCCAGTCACCACTGTCATCATATCTCATGATGCCAGTCACCACTGTCATCGTATCTCATGATGATCACCTGTCATCATATCTCATGATCAGTCACCACTGTCATCATATCATGATGCCAGTCACCACTGTCATCTCATGATGCCAGTCACCACTGTATCTCATGATGCCAGTCACCACTGTCATCAGTATCTCATGATGCCAGTCACTGTGCCAGTCACCACTGTCATGTCATCTCATGATCACTGTCATCATATCTCATGATGCCAGTCACCACTGTCATCATATCTCATGATGCCAGTCACCACTGTCATCGTATCTCATGATGCCAGTCACTACTGTCATCAGTCACCACTGTCATCATGCCAGTCACCACTGATCTCATGATGCCAGTCACCACTGTCATCGTATCTCATGATGCCAGTCACCACTGTCATCATATCTCATGATGCCAGTCACAGTCACCACTGTCATCGTATCTCATGATGCCAGTCTGTCCACTGTCATCAGTCATCTCATGATGCCAGTCACCACTGTCATCGTATCTCATGATGCCAGTCTGTCATCTATCTCATGATGCCAGTCACCACTGTCATCATCTCATGATGCCAGTCACCACTGTCATCGTATCTCATGTCATCACCACTGTCATCATATCTCATGATGCCAGTCACCGTATGTCATCATGTATCACTGTCATGATGCCAGTCACCACTGTCATCATATCTCATGATGCCAGTCACCACTGTCATCGTATCTCATGATGCCAGTCACCACTGTCATCATATCTCATGATGCCAGTCACCACTGTCATCATATCTCATGATGCCAGTCACCACTGTCATCATATCTCATGATGCCAGTCACCACTGTCATCGTATCTCATGATGCCAGTCACCACTGTCATCATATCTCATGATGCCAGTCACCACTGTCATCATATCTCATGATGCCAGTCACTACTTTGTCTGGCCCAGACTCGAGTATTTACAGACATCCGCCATGCTAAACATACAAATAACCAAACACACACATGTAAAATATGTTATATTTGGGATTACACTTTCTAAGTAAAGTACAGATTCTAGTACTTTTTGGGTTGAGTCCCACCCTCAGCGTCTGGCACCTTATCGCCAGCCCACAAAGTCAGACGCCTAGACCGCTCAGCCACCGCGGCTTCCACTGAGCTTCTGGCAGCGGGGGCGGTGGGGTAGCCTAATGGTTCGTTGGCTCAGCACATGGGTACAAGTGTGAAGCCCATTTCTGGTGTCCCCCGCCGTGATGTTGCTGGAATATTGCTAAAAGCGGCGTAAATCCAAACTCAGTCAGTCAGTCAGTCTGGCTGAGCGGTCTACGCGTCTGACTTTGTGTATTTCAAACACACACATGCTCATGATCATGATTTAGTTGGAATGACACATCGGTAACAAACATTACCGATTCTATTTCCTGTTTTCACTTATTCCATATATAGAGGATACAAAACGATATTCCGTGTAATAACATTTTGATTAAACGAGTTAATTATTTGGTATCAAACGAGCGAAATCAAAATGGTATTTCATGGAAGATCGTTTAGTATCCTCTATTTATTACTCGGGGGAGTAATAAGATCCATTATTTGTTCAGGTGAACAACCGCCTTGCCCTTGCATGTGTTTGGGGGGCGGTGGGGTAGCCTAGTGGTTAAAGCGTTGGCTCGTCACGCCGAAGACCCGGGTTCGAATCCCGACATGGGTACAATGTGTGAAGCCCATTTCTTGTGTCCCCCGCCGTGATGTTACTGGAATATTGCTAAAAGCGGCGTAAAACCAAACTTAGTCAGTAGTTAGTGCATGTGTTTGGAACGGGGCCATCAGTGAGGCTGGATACGCTCTCCTAGGGTATCATCCCTACTGCACAGTGAATACATCGTCATGGTATACACCGAATATGACAAACAAGTCTGATGTTAATTATGGAAAGGGGTTTGTGATTTTGTTTCCAGATTCCGTAGCATGATGCTGTTATTCATTTAGATATGTAATGTACATTGGCGCATTGACATGTATAATGTGTTGTTTACAGATCTGCACGTAGGCATGTACAGTGATAAATATGTTGTTGACAGCTATGCACTGAAGCGTGTACTGTAAAGTTGTTTACACAGATACATATTTGGAGGACAGCATTATATATTTGACCTTGCGACTGACAGTTTAATCCTTTCATGACTTTTCCAGGCCGAGCCAGTCTCTGTTGTATACCAGCATTCCGGCAGGACACTTTAATAGGATAATAGTCCTGCTCCGATTCCGGGGGGTCATTTGTTTATACCTTGTGTACACTAGCTACCCACTTCAGAAGGCAGTTGGATGACAGTGGTGTCGATTCACCCGAACAATGGAATACGTACGATATGTCGTAAAACGCCCATTAAATGGCAGATGTCGTTATGCGATCGTGATCAAGCTTAAACTGAATATTCCACAACACATTTGCTGTGAGGGTTATAAGCGTAACGTTACAGAGTAGTTCACCTTGAGTCTTTAAATGTGACTTTCCGGTGCGTTAAGAGCAGTGAACCGTGCGTTTCGTTATATTGACAACTGAACACCATATAACTACAAGGTACATATCCCACACCTCTTGTCAGTAGACAGTGAACAGAGTGAGGGCTACACGTGTACTACATGCTGGTATTGATGAGTGGCATGGTGAGTATACCACGGTTGTAGCTGTCCATGTAACGAGTAGATACAAATATTCAATGTTTTTTAATGTCATTGAGGTTTAGGCTAGATAATCAAACGCTGTGAACGGTTGTGTCACCTAACCTTTTATATCTGACATGCAAGACAACCAACAAATTCAGAATCGACGTTTCCACTCTGTGCTATAACACGTTTTATCGAATAATATAATTGAAATACAAACGTTCATGCATGTTCTTCATACTGGGACCCGTGAAGATCCGGGGTAGAATTGGTCTTCAGCAACCCATTCTTGTCATAAAAGGCGACTATGCTTGTCGTAAAAGGCGACTAACGGGATCGGGTGGTCAGGCTCGCTGACTTGGTTGACACATGTCATCGGTTCCCAATTGTGCAGATCGATGCTCATGCTGTTAATCACTGGATTGTCTGGTCCAGACTCGATTATTTACAGACCGCCGCCATATAGCTGAAATATAGCTGAGTGCGGCGTAAAACTAAACTCACTCACTCACTCTTCATACTGGGAATATAACACCTCTGTTTTCTGTTATAACAAGATATCTTGCTTCCACGTAGGCCGCAGATATATGAAACATCCCATATTTGTTTTGTTATAACAATGTTATCTGGTTAGAACAAAGCAAAATATAACCGTTAATCAAAGACAAATTCAATATATTCAAGTGTTATAGAAGAGACCTCAAGTTCACGTTTGTCCTGTGTTATAATACAGACTGTCAAGGGACCTCAAGTCCATATTTGCCCTGTGTTATAACACAGTCAGAATAAGTGACCCCAAGCCCATGTCTGTGCTGTGTTTCAATACAGATAAACAAGTCACCTCAAACGACGATAGTGACCAGCATAGTTATGTTGAAAATTCAGGACACTCTCAGGAAAAATTGTAAACAAAAACAACGTCAAAGTCAGGAAAGATATATGGGAAACTTAATACCGTCCATAAACGACACAAACCTATTTTGAACAGTAAGTAAGATTTTGAACGCCAGACAACGTAGTACAAGAGTAAGTAATATTGATTTAGAGACATGGAAAGGTTACATTTAAAAGTTGTTTTATGGGAATTACGACTGTGAAAGCCAACAATCTGAGACGATTCAAAGTGAAGAAACAGATGATGTTTCCAATCTGATTTTAAAGAACGAAATAACTGAAAGCGACACGAGAAAGGCTATCAGTTCGATGAAAAGGAATAAATTGGCTGGTCACGATAAGTTGATTGCAGAATTATTTATACATGGCATTTGATTTGCATATACCATTTCTGTTAAATTTATTTAATAACATATTTGACTCTTGTTGTATCTCAGGTGAAAGGTCCAAAATTGCCCAAATCATTCAAAGTCTGTATTGAAATGTCAATGCCTATGTTAGAAAATAGCACTTGTATTTTGACTCCTTTGAATGGCCTATGGGTTTCAGACAACGATGTATCATGAGTCCATTGTTGTTCTGTATTTATATAAACGAGTTAGCAACTACAGTCCCTTTGATTTCATTTGAGACCGATGAATTTCTCACTAACACAAAATCTAATAATCGCAAAAAAAAACCCAACAAATTTCACAGGAAATCGACATACGAACTCTGATGATCTACCAGCAAGTGGTCCTCCCTCGTAAGAAATAGCGAAAAGTGACACATGAAATAATGATCGTTTGTTAAACAACTTTTTTATTCGGGTGTCCAAATTATGAGACAAATCATTAGAAGTTGGTCTGTCGATTTCATGTGACTGTGCAAAATTTTGTGTGAGTGAGCAATTCATCGGTCTCAAATGAAATCAAACGGACTGTAGTACTGAATTCTCAAACTGTTATGGGATACAACTCATGTCAGATATAGTGAAATTGTACTTATCTTGCTGATGACATTGTATTACTAGCAAATGTGTGCAAAGATTTATAAAATGAATTAGATATTCTATCTGATTTCTTTGATGAATTTGGTTTAAAAGTAAATTTGAACTAGTACTGAACTATCGGTTGTAAATAGATGAAATATTATGTTTGTGACCATCAAGTCCACGATTGTCATGTGTCATAATACAGATAACAACTTACCTAAAGTCCATGTTTCCCCTGTGTTTAAAAACTACAGATAAACAGGTAGCCCCACGTTCATGTTTGTCTTGTGTTATAATGGACCCTTATGTGACCTCAATTCCAGGGTTGTCCTATGTGATAACACAGATAAACAAGTCTATGGTATTTTTTCATTTATTTCAAATAAATTTTAGACCTCGATTTGCATACGTCTTCTCCAAAGTTCTTTCTTCGGCTTGGTACATAAATGAAATCTGGATTGATTTGCAAGCAAAATATTGCTTATATATGGACAGGGATATCTTTGTCCATCTCTCTCTCTCTCTCTCTCTCTCTCTCTCTCTCTCTCTCTCTCTCTCTCTCTCTCTCTCTCTCTCTCTCTCTCTCTCTCTCTCTCTCTCTCTCTCTCTCTCTCTCTCTCTCTCTCTCTCTCTCTCTCTCTCTCTCTCTCTCTCTCTCTCTCTTTGTCCATAGAAAGTGTGTACCCGTGGGAGCCAGGATGTGATGATACTCTCCGATTAAGATCGCTGGCCTCTCTGCACTATATTTGTTATATGTTAGACGTCGAGTATATTTAAATTCACTATATGAATAGCTTAATGTAAATGTTTTCTTTTTTCAATATGCCAACGGGTGTATGTCCATTCAGTTATAAAAATAATTAAGTACATGACATCTCACATATATATTTGTGACCATTTGTTGATGTACCGCAAATATAATGTTAAGCTAATGGCGGCCACGTTTAACATATTCTTTTCTTTGACCATAAAGCTTTGAAATCAAAGTTTTAATTTATTTTAGTACGTGTAAACATGCATTAATCTCGTATGACTCAATATGTTTGAATATGGTGATAGGCTGGCATTCATACTGTCCATTAAGATCCAATCCTTTGAAATGTGGCACGACACAACACAAACATGTTATCACAAATACTGTCACCGGACGGAGCCTTTCACTCATTGCAATCGGAAGGTAATCTATTGAACTGTATATCGGATCAGAGGGGATTAATGCATATCATTTATCGACACATACAGAGATCTCTTCAAGTAAGTCCCCTATTATTGACGTTCGTCAATGGTTTGGACAGAAGGTGCCGATTCACGATTTACAAATAACGACTACACCCCGTGTGCTTTGAATGATTTCTTCAAAAGTAAGAGTGTGCTTTGTCCACGGAGTCATTCAGTGGCTGTGTAAATGAGAGTGTACATTTGTGAGTGTTGCTAGTCAGTGAGCCTGAGAGGTGGGAAGCATGGCGATTGTTGTCCAAATCTTGTGATGGACATGGAATTCACTTGACAGCATGCCATTCGGCTGTCTTGACGTACGTCCAGTACGGCTGTCGTACACCTCAAAGGGCTGCCTTCACATGCATCTTATATGGCTGTCCTGACGTACATCTCCTATGGCTGTCCGGACGTACATCTCATACAGCTGTCCTGGCGTACATCTCATACAGCTGTTCTGACGTACATCTCATACAGCTGTCCTGACGTACGTCTCATACAGCTGTCCTGACGTACGTCTCATACGGCTGTCTTGACGTACATCTCATACGGCTGTCCTGACGTACGTCTCATACGGATGTCCTGACGTACGTCTCATACGGCTGTGCTGACGTACGTCTCATACGGCTGTCCTGACGTACGTCTCATACGGCTGTCTTGACGTACGTCTCATACGGCTGTCCTGACGTACGTCTCATACGGCTGTCCTGACGTACATCTCCTACGGCTGTCCTGACGTACGTCTCATACGGCTGTCCTGACGTACATCTCATATGGCTGTCCTGACGTACGTCTCATACTGCTGTCCTGACGTACGTCTCATACAGCTGTCCTGACGTACATCTCATATGGCTGTTCTGACGTACATCTCATACAGCTGCCCTGACGTACATCTCATACGGCTGTCCTGACGTACATCTCATACAGCTGTCCTGGCGTACATCTCATACAGCTGTCCTGACGTACATCTCATATGGCTGTCCTGACGTTCATCTCATAGAGCTGTCCTGGCGTACGTCTCATACAGCTGTCCGGACGTACATCTCATACTGCTTTCTTGACGTACGTCTCATACGGCTGTCCTGACGTACGTCTCATACAGCTGTCTTGACGTACAATCTTATTCTGCTGTCTTGACGTACATACGGCAAACATGTTGTTTTTTTACTCACATGAGAACATGGCGTTCCATCATGCTGTACATTCCATATGAAGACTATCATGCTGTACTTTCGATATGAATAGCATGAGGTTTATAGCTTAAAGTTTATATAGCATCATATAATGTAGTGTGAAAGTATTGGAAATGACAATATATTCACGCTTGACTCAGATCATGTGTTCATCATTTATATGAAATATATAGATAGCTGTTCGTTCTTCTGAAAGAGGTAACAGTCACGCCTTGATATTGCTTCGTTAAATTGACATACAATATTTGATTTTTATTAGGTATCTGTAATAGAATGTAAATATATTCAGTGAAATATCCGGATATATGACTACCACCAGGCCAGCCATTTCTCACGTTTATATCGATTGTAAATAGAGGACAAAAGCACCTGCCCTGTACAGCAAACACGTACGTCTATTACGGTGTGTGTTGTTACGTAACCTCACCTCTGTACTATTTGACAAGGAACTGGATAGATAGATAGTTGTTCCCGAGTATAGGAACAATTGTTCCAGAGTATAGGAACACCTGTACATAAGTTGAACTGAAAGGCGTTTGATTAGGAAGTCAAATACTATCCCACAATACTTCGATTCACACGCTGTTACAACGCTCTTACAACAGGGTGGTATGTAGGGCTCGAGTGAACAAATTCAATACTCAGTCAGGTTGGAATCCGACGTGAGTGTGGGGAGACGTGAATACCCCGGATAGGAAGACACCCACGTACAGGTATGTTCAACTTATAACAGTTTGTTTGTACAAACATTTGACTTGAGTTTTTGTTTTACTCGTCGATTTCTTCATACGCTGACTCTTGCAATTGGGACTATCCGTGTCTGTGTATCACGGACGGTCTAAGTTCCTCTGTCGGGGCTAGTCTACGTCGTACATAAAAAAAACAAAAACATATCTATTAAACTTTAAATATACGTATTTGAATCATATTTAAATCGTGATATTTGTGTATATGTGGAATCTTCTTTACACGATCTTTATAAGTAAATGAAATCATAGTTCCAAAATGTTAAATAAACTTTTATCTTGAGTCCTGCCTCTCATCATGTTCCCACATCCACCCTTAATGTCAACCCATCACCAACAACCACTCAAAATGTCAACCCATTACCCACATGCACCCTTAATGTCAACCCATCACCCACATCCATCCATGATGTCAATCTATTTACACATCCACCAATAATGTCGACCCATCACACACATCCACCCATACTGTCAACCCATCACCCACATCCACCCTTAATGTCAACCCATCACCCACATCTACACATAATGTCAACCCTTCACCCGCATCTGAACATAGTGTCAATCCGTCACCCACATCCACCCTTAATGTCAGCCCTTCACCCGCATCTACACTTAATGTCAACCCGCCACCCACATCCACCCATTGTGTCAACCCATCACTCACATAATGTCAACCCGTTACCCACATCCACCCTTAATGTCAACTCGTCACCTACATCTACCCTTAATGTCAACCCTTCACCCACATCTACACTTAATGTCAACCCTTCGCCCACATCTACACATTATGTCAAACTGTCATCCACATCCACCCTGAATGTCAACCCATCACCCACTTAATGTCAACCCGTTACCCACATCCACCCTTAATGTCAACCCGTCACCTACATCTACCCTAAATTTCAACCCATCATCCTCATCTACACTTAATGTCAACCCGTCACCCACTTAATGTCAACCCGTTACCCACATCCACCCTTAATGTCAACACGTCACCTACATCTACCCTGAATGTCAACCCGTCATCCTCATCTACACTTAATGTCAACCCGTCACCGACATCTACACTTAATTTCAACCCTTCACCCACATCCACCCTTATGTCAACATGTCACCCACATCTACTCTTAATGTCAACCCGTCACCCACATCTACACTTAATGTCAACACGTCACCAACATCTACACTTAATGTCAACCCGTCACCCACATCCACTCTTAATGTCAACCCATCACCCACATCTACACTAAATGTCAACCCTTCACTCGCATCTACACTTAATGTCAACCCGTCACCCACATCCACCCTTAATATCAACCAGTCACCCACATCTACACTTAATCTCAACCAGTCACCCACATCTACACTTAATGTCAACCCATCACCAACTTAATATCAACCCGTCACCCACATCCACCCTTATGTCAACCCATCACCCACATCTACACTTAATGTCAACCCATCCCCCACATCCACCCTTTATTTCACCCCATCACCCAAATTCACCCTTAATGTCAACCCATCACCAACATCCACCTATAATGTCAACCCATCACTCACATACACCCACATTGTCAACTCACCACCCACATCCACCCTTAAATTCAACCCATCACCCACATCCACCCATATTGTGTACCAATCACCCACATCCACCCATATTGTCTACCCATCACCCACATCCACCCTCATTGTCAACCCATCACCCACATCCACCAATATTGTCAACCCACCACCCACATCCACCCTTAATGTCAACCAACACCCACATCCACACTTAGTGTCAACCCATCACCCACATCCACCCATACTGTCAACCCATCACCCACATTAACCAATAATGTCAACCCATCACCGACATCCACACCTAATGTCACCCACATGTACCACATAATGTCAACCCGTCACCCACATCTAACCTCATATTGTCAATCCATCACCCACATCTACACTTAATGTCAACCCATCAGCCACATCTACACTTAATGTCAACCCATCACACACATCCACCCATATTGTCAATCCATCATCCACATCCACCCATATTGTCAACCCATCACCCACATCCACCCACATTGTCAACCCATCACCCACATCCACCCATATTGTCAACCCATTACCCACATCCACCCTCATTGTCAACCCATCACCCACATCCACCCATATTGTCAACCCATCACCCACATCTACACTTAATGTCAACCCATCACCCACATCCACCCACATTGTCAACCCATCACCCACATCCACCCACATTGTCAACCCATCACACACGTCCACCCACATTGTCAACCCATTATCCACATCCACCCATATTGTCAACCCATCACCCACATCTACACTTAATGTCAACCCATCACCCCATCTACACTTAATGTCAACTCATCACCTACATCTACACTTAATGTCAATCCGTCACCCACATCCACCCATATTGTCAACCCATCATCCACATCCACCCATATTGTCAACCCATCACCCATTTTGTCAACCCATCACCCACATCCACCCTTAATGTCAACCCATCACCCCATCTACCACATAATGTCAACCCGTCACACACATCCACCCATAATGCCAACCCACTACCCACATCCACACTTAGTGTCAACCCATCACCCACATCCACCTATATTGTCAACCCACCACCTACATCTACACTTAATGTCAACTCATCACCCACATCTACACTTAATGTCAATCCGTCACGCACATCCACCAATATTGTCAACCCATCACACACATCCACCCATATTGTCAACCCACTACCCACATCCACCCATAATGTCAACCCACTACCCACATCCACCCATAATGTCAACCCATCACACACATCCACCCATATTGTCAACCCATCACCCACATCCACCCATATTGTCAACCCACCACCCACACCCACCCTTAATGTCAACCCATCACCCACATCCACCAATATTGTCTACCCATCACCCACATCAACCCATATTTTCAACCCATCACCCACATCCACACTTAGTGTCAACCAACCACCCACATCCACCCATATTGTCTACCCATCACACACATCCACCCATATTGTCAACCCACCACCCACACCCACCCTTAATGTCAACCCATCACCCACATCCACCTTAATATCAACCCACCACCCACATCCATCCATATTGTCTACCCATCTCACACATCCACCCATATTGTCAACCAATCACCCACACCCACCCTTAATGTCAACCCATCACCTTTATTCACCCATAATCTCAACCCATCACCCACATCCACCCTGAATCTCAACCCATCACCACATCCACCCATAATGTCAACCCATCACCACAATCACCAACACCAACAACAACGATGACTTCATCCGATCCCAAAATTGCACTGTGTAAGTGGGTGTTGTAGTATTTGATTGGATGAGTGGGTATTGTGTGAGTGTTTGAGTCAGTGGTATCTTGTGTAAATAGGAGATGTGTGGGTGAGTGAGTGGATCCATGAGTGGATTTTGCGTTACTGAGTGTTTTAGTCAGTCAGTATTGTATGTGACTGAGCGGGTGTTGTACGTGCATGAGTGAGTGGTTATTGTGTTATTATATGTTTTTTCAGTAAGTGAGTGAGTGGATGGGTGACGTGTGAGTATAGGTGTCTGGTGAGTGGTTATTGTGTCAGAGAGTGTATTGTAAGTAAGTGAGTGAGGGAGTGGGTGATGGACGTGGGTTGCTACAAGAGATACTGAATACTCTACATACCATTTAACTTGGAAAACTGTCGTGAAATTTGATTATGCCTATTTTATCATGATTTCTTTCTGCAACAGTTTATGAAAATGGTAATCTGTGGATAGGTACTTCTGGGTAAAATAGATTGGTTCCATGAAGCCTGGGATACAAAATATATTAGCAGCCATATGACTCTACCGTGCTTGAGATGGGGTTTTTAAATCTGGGTAAACAGATTATGGAAGGTACCCATTATACGGGTTGTGTTGTGGGGTTCTTTTACATATATAAAGTCATTATTTTGAAAATTTAAACCATGTAGATATTTTCTTTGAGTGTTGACTAAACGCAAATACAGTTAATTTCTATTAATATACTATTGCTATTTTAAGATGTTTTCTATTGAAAATCACACATATGACAAAATGGAGTGAGATATATATTTTCACTTGTTCCTCATGTACGTATATCTTTAACGCGTTAAAATGTTATGAAATGTTTTGCAAATCATTTTCAAGTCTCTTGAGCAGTCCGACCAGTTTACCAGTTAGACTAGTCTACTCCAGTAGCGTCAAGTCGTAAAGTGGCAGATTAAACAATTAGGTGGGAGGAGGACTGGGGGTTAACGCAGCTTAAACCCGCCTCCACATGTGCCTATATTTACATCCCACATCGCCAGCGGTGCTTCATATATCAACAACCACTCAACATGTGATACACAGACGTAATGGAGTGCCCTAATGGTTAAAATAAGATTTGCTCGACCCCCATGTGTAATGTAGTAAAGCATATTTTTCTGTATCTATCATATTGTTTACAATACGAGGGCTCTTCGGGGAGAGGTAAACTATATTACATTACTCGTAATACCGTTTGCTCAACCCCTTGCATAGAGCGAAAGTACGTTTTAAACAAAAATCGCTTGCACCCATACGTTAAGGGACCAAGTACGCTTTGAATAGAATCAAAGTACCTTTTAAATACAGCAAACCTCTTAAATGAGTAGACTACTTAAGGGTCAATTAAGTGACAGTTTATCATCTTTCTCAAATTCCCAATGGCATGCAGAATTAGAAAGGATCTTAGTTCCAGTTTTTTTAGCATCGGTACAGTTAAAATTCACGATGTATGTATGTAGACATACCGGTCTTGTTTCGCTTGTTATTGTGTCGCTAGAGTTTTTTTCTGTCGTGAAAGATGTGTCTTAGTTTCATGACATGAGCAGACTGCTTACACTTCGCGATACGGTACCGAGCAGGAGCAACAGAA